TTGCAATCTTTTACGCCATATTTTTTTGAAGACGGCGGTCTTGATTTTATTTTTCGGCACATCTACAAGCAGCACTTCCAGTTTCCAGTTTTTCAGCAATATTTGAAGCAACCTGTAGCAGCCCCATTCGATCTCGCCACAACTACCCAGGGGAGTCTGTTCCTTTTTCTCCCTTTTTATGTTCTTAATTTGTTTTAACATACAATGAGGGCATTGTATGAAATAAGTGTGGGGTAGGGGGTCGGTAAAAGTAAATTATAAAAATGAAATAATAGTTGGAAATTGCTAGATTTAGGGAAATTTAAAAATTTAAAAGAAAACTTGAAATAATAGTTTAATTTAGAAAAATCTAATGATAATTTAAAATTTTGCTAATATTGTATGAGATGATCCGATGAGAACTCAAATGTTTAGTTGAGTCAATACACGTTATAGTGCATTTGTGGCTTCCCTTATTTTAGTGAAATCATGGAACAAAAACATAACCCCGCTCGGTTTGAAGGATGCAATATGTTTAGCAGCCTAAACCTGAAATGTATCCAGGAAAATTATTATCATTAACCAATAAAGGTTGAGGTTGAGCGCCTCTGCTTAAGCATGTAGGTTTTGAGTGAAAAAAGAGAGGTACATGTAAAAAAAAGGAAGAAGAAGAAGAGAGAATTATGAAAAAGTTTGAAGAATTTTGGAGCAAATAAAGTGAAGATCAAAAAATCAAAATTCCAAGAAATTCAAAAAGTTGAAGATACCAAGAAATCAAATCAAATAAGGTGGTGAATTCAAAGAAATCGAAGATCAAATTGTTAAGAAAGTGAAGAATTCCTAAAAAGCTCCACAGTGGTATCATAAATTGTAATTCTAGATTATGTATGCTTAGGTTGCTCAACTAAAAATACCTTGAGGTTAAGAGGTTTTCTGCGGATGGATTCGGAGGGTTGCATAAAATGAGCATTGTTCGGAAAAAGTGGGCAAGTGTTTATGAAGATTGTGAGTATTTAAAGTATGGGGGGGTACTTTAGGAAAATTTTAGACACAAATGCATGCGTTGAGGTCTTGGCATAATGGCTGAGTTTTAAATGGATTGTTTAGTGCAATATTGGTAAAATAAAAGTAAATTTGCTTGGGGGCAAGCAAAGGCTAAGTGTGGGGTATTTTGATATGTGTATTTTTATATATATTTTTATGCACTTTATCTTAATATTTTGGCCTTGTTTATTCTATTTTAGAACTAAAAAGTACTCATAATACTTTGAATTATGTTTTGCAGCTATTCGTTGTCAATAAAGCACAAAAGAAAAGACTAAAGCGGAAACCGGACTTAGGAGCTAAAAGGAATTAAATATGCTGAAGAAGTGGGTTACGCCCCGCGTAAAGTCGCAATACGCCCAGCGTAAAGCCTAAACTAGCCGTACGCCCCGCGTAATTAAAAAAGTACGCACCGCGTACTGGGTGCCTTCAAATAACTCCAAATCGCGTAGTAATCCTGTGTACGCCACGCGTAATCCTATGTATGCCCAGCGTACTTAGGTCGGCTACAAAGACTATAAATGTCGATTTTCAGCTAACTAGGGAGGGGGATTCGACTTCTAACCTAATTTAGTCGACAATTAACTTCTGTTAAGCCGTTTTGAGGGTCTAGAAGGCGGGCGGAAGGCCGTTAAGCTAACGGGAGCGGAGATCGAAAGGGTTGGAGAACGGATACGTGTCAGTAATCCTATGGGTTGTTAACGTGACCATGTTTAGCATTCCATTGTGTTACTATTCTGTATTTAGTTTCTGACTTGGGTGTAAAAACCTTTTACTTTGTGTTTATGATTGAATGAAGCTTTGATTATTAGACTAATTGCTATATTAAATAGTTTGTTTGTGTTTAATTTATCTTACCAAGCTTGTTAAAAGATCATTATGTATTAATGATGATTATTTTCTGTTAATTGTTAAGTGAATTGAGTTGTATGAACATATGCTTGATTGCTTTTCTCTTATGATTTTGATGACCATCGAGATTATAAGTCTAGGAATAACGAATGTGAAACTAGGATTAACATGGGAATAAGTAAGTTAATGTGTGAGCCTTGTTTGATGACCATCAACAAGAGGTTAATTGAATGTTTAATTTGATTAACTATATTTACAAGTCTTGTTTGATACGAACTGAACACTAGGAAGCATGTTAGTTTAACCAATTGATCACTGTTTGAATTGAATTGTTTGCTAAAGGATTAGTTATAGTGAACACGAATCTAATCATTTTAGGAATCGGTGAACATGAATAAATGAATTTGTGTATGCAATTGTCTATGTTTTTAAGGTGGAATTTGTCTAAACCAAAGTACCTGAAGAGATTTATTTTCCTGTTAGTTTATCGAGAATGGTTAATTAATTATTAGTTTGAGATTTATTAAACTATTTCTTTTATTCTTTTCGTGTGACATGTAACCTATAATCAAATATATTAAATTAATCCACCGTTCCCTGTGATCGACACCCGACTTACCTAAGCTATACTGTAATCTGACTAGGTACACTGCCTATAAGTGCATAGTTAGTCTAAGTTTGTTAGGTTATAAATATTAAAATTAGTGGGTACTTTTGTGCACATCACCAACCCACTTAAAGGTCCACCTCGTATTCCATGTAAGTCTCCTTAAACCTTATAATCGAGATGAAGAAGACCCGTCTAGGAGTGAATCACAACGAGCTCCAGTTGCGAATGTGATCTCCTTTGATAAGGAAGTAGAAGAAATTATGGTCGATAGAATAATTCGCAAAAGAGGATCACCCAACTGGACTGAGTACTATGTTCGATGTAAGGGACAACCCGATACGGAATCCAGTTGGGAACAAGAACAAGACTTATGGCAGTTCAGAGACAAGATCGAAGCATACAAGTCCAAGGCTTGACGGGGACGTCAAGGATTTCGGTGGGGGAGGGTGTCACGAGTCGGTGTTCTAGAATCTTCCAGACTGATCAAGAAGATGGTAGAACAAGTAATAATCTACCATAAGGCCTTAGAACGATCTAGAATTCTCTAGGATGCAAAAGTATAGAATAGAATTGTGTAGAACTTTGTATATAGATAAGGATCTTGTAAGAACAATCTAGAATACTCGGGAATATACGAAATCTAGAAACTTCCCTTTGAGGAGGTGTAGGATGCCTATAAATAGGAGGATGGCTCATTTGTCCAAGGCATCCAAGAAGTTCTCTTGTAAGAAGTAAAGTTGTATAAAGAAGCTCTTTTCTTAGAAGTGTTTCTTGTCGTTTCTCTTGCTTCCTTTAATCGTTAATACATCTAAGCCATCGAAGTTAGCCTGACTTAGTTGGAGAAAATACTAAGTGGTGCACGGTGATTGAAGCATCCCGTGACAAGGTGCTAAAATTTTGAAAGTCATGGCTATGCATTACCCTTTATGTACACTTTTGCAGGATAGATGACATCTTACTTCTTGAACCAAATGCTAAATTTCCTAGGTAGAATTATGTACGTGTAAGCTCTAATTATTAGTAGCATCACAAACTGTAGCCATTCTATGCACAACAAGTGTTCGATGAAATGGTTTGCTAGGATTTATTTGTATTTATAGGTTTCATTTAAGTATCACCATTTCATTAATAAAGACACATATATTGGTGAAAAGGTTGTGCTATATCTATCATAACAATGTCAGGTTGGAGGGTGTAGATTCTTAACCAGACTGACTGTTAACGTTGTGCGATAGCTATGGAAAAGCCTGGAAGTAGTTGAGGTGACTGAGTATGTTACGCTAAATTTATAAAAATAGTTTTTGTGTCTATATACACACGATGTATTTCTCATTTTTTATCTGGAAAATAAAACAAATGTTATAATTTAATCTTTTTAATGAAAACATGTAGGATTTAAACTTGAAAGTGAGTGTAATGTAATTGTCTATTTGACGCTTATGGTTGAAATAAAAAAAATACGAGTGTACTTGCATCTATTCAACCATGATATCAACTTACTTACCTTTTTTATGGTTATATTTGTCGTTAATTTCCCAATTTTTGTAGAGAAGATAAGGGCACAATATAAAAAACAGAACAACTGACCCATGAGAAGCATGTGTCTCTTATATATCTAGTTTATATTAAGTAGTTTGTCTTTCCAAACCTTTTCTTTGCCAACTATCTTAATAAGCTCAACCCATTAATTAATTAACTCTTTAATTAAATTGAATGAATTTTTAGTTAAATAAACTATTATATTTAACTTACAATAAATAAACTGTTTTATTTATTTAATATAATTTTAACCAATAAATAATAAATCAGTATTCTTAAT